GTGATGATGGTGAAGATGATGATGACGGTGATGGTGATGACGGTGATGGTGATGATGACAGTGATGATGGTGAAGATGATGATGGTGGGATAGTGATGACGGTGATGATGGTGATGATGATGGTGATGATGGTGATACTGGTAATGATGGTGATGTTGGTAAAGATGATGATGATGGTGGTGATGGTGATAATGATGGTGATGGCAGTGATGCTGGTGATTGTGTTGATGATGGTGATAATGGTGACAATGGTATGATGATGATGATAATGACGGTGATGCTGGTGATGACGATGGTGGTGAGGCCATGCCAGGTCAAACAAAGCTGGACTGCTTCTCCCACTGCAGGACTTCTCAGAGCCTTTAGAATACTAAAATGCAAGGGGGGGAAATCTCCGAGAGGCGGATGCCCAGTCCAGAATTTCCTAAACCCCTCTCTGATCATGGAACAGCCCGTGAACATTTCCCACATGGTCCAGGGAACACTGAACCTGAGCACCCAAAATGAAGGGCCAAGATAGAGCACTTGTCTTGTCATTCAGAACATCTGCAAGGAGAACTGACCCTGAGATGCTTGGTTTCTAGGGGCAACTCCAAGTATCATTACTATGGGATCCGCCTGAAACCAGATTCACCCTTGAACCGGCTGCAGGAGGACACCCAGTATATGGCCATGCGGCAACAGCCCATGCATCAGAAGCCAAGGTGGGTGACCTGGCCCAAAGCCAGCCTGAGGACTGACTTTCCTGCCCAAGGCAAGGGTTGGGTCTGAGTTTCACTTGGGAGAACATACAGAAAAGTGTCTCTCAAACATTAAATACATAGGGAGGAGGGAACTCTCCAAACTGTGATGGAAAAAATAGATTCCTATGAACCTCTGTCTCCAACGTCCTGGGAGAGCCAAGGCACAGGAAGCTGGGGATGCAACCTCATTCAGCTAACAGAGCCTTTGGATCTTTCTCTTTTTAAAAAAAAATAGACATTATTTTTTAGAACAGTTTTAGGTTCCCAGCAAAATTGGGTAGAAAGTGCAGTTTTCCATATGTCCCCTGTGCTCAATGCACAGCCTCCCCCCCATCAACGTGGCACCAGAGCTGTGTGTTTGTGCCAACTGGCGAACCTACATCGACATATCATTACCACCTCAAGTCCATACTGGACATTAGGGGTCACTCTGGGTGCTCCATTCAAATGGGTTTGTACAAATGTATAATGACATGTATCCAGCATTATGGATCACACAGAGTAGTTTCACTGCCCTGAAAATGCTCTGTGTCCTGACTCTTCATCCTTCCCTCCCCTCAACCTCCGGCAGCCACTGACCCTTCTACTGTCCCCATAGTTTTGCCTTTTCCAGAATATCATAGAGCTGGAATCCTAGATCTTTAATTTTCAACTATGGGGGGGGGAAAAAGAGAGAACACTGAAACTAACCCAAGAAGCCTGGAGAAAGAAGCTTATATACTTAAGTTGCTGCTTCTTCCTGACATTCTGATCCAATGGCTGGAAAGGCCTGGTCATTTTCTGGAATGTTCTCTTCTCTATCCATCACACACTGACTCATCTTTTAAGGCAGGGGTCAGCAAACCTTTCTGTAAAGGGCCAAAGAGCAAATATCTTAGGCTTTGCAGGCCACTCTGTCAAGACTATTCAGTCCTCCATGGTAGCATGAAAGCCGGCACAGGTGATACAGAGACCAATGGGCGTGGCTGTGTGCCAATAAAACTTTATTCACAAAACAAGGAGCAGCACTGGCCCTCCACAGCTGGGATTTGCAGGCCCCTGGTTCATGGCCCCACTCAAATGTCACCTCCCTGGCAGTCCTGCAGTCACCTCTCCTTTCCTGCTTCCCTCTGTCCCTGGCTCCTCTCCAGAGTCCAGACTGCTCCACGTGGCACCTTCATAACTTGGCCCATCCGTGTGTGGCTAAGAACCCACTTTAGTGGCTCTAAGGCCATCCCAGGGACTCCAAACCACATGTCCAATCGCAGGAGTTGGAGGTCACAGAAGAGAGTCTCCAGGACATTCTCCAGCAGCCAACAGATAGGAGTGGAACCAACAGTCCATCCTGAAGCTATTTGTCCAGACATGGACTCTGTAGCTTCTTGTTGTTGTTTGGTTTGGGGTTTGGGCCCCTACAAACACCCGTGAATCACGACACCAGGCAGAGTATTATCTTAGGAGCAGCTGTACATCTCATGGCGACAGGCTCGTGCCATTTGCGCTTGGAACCACCACCCGAGTCAGGCAGTCCACACGTGTCTGAGAGGCTTTTCTCTGTCCTCACGGGAAGCCTGGCCCCACTTTCCACAAGGAAAGGCGCTCCCCGCTGGAGTTGGGTCCCCCCGCTCTTCCCACAGCACCACCATCACCACCTCGCAGCCGCCTGCCGGGCGCAAGGCACGCCGGGCCCTGGGGAGCCCTTCTCGGGGAATGTTTCCCGTTTGCTGCCAGGACAGGCTGTCCACTGCTTTCTGACTCAAGGCAAAAAAAGTCCCAGAATTTCCTTTGAGACCACATAATAGTAAGATATTTGTGATTCTATATAAAGAAGTTCACTTATCTTCTAAGGGAGAAGTATTAGGGGGAAAAAAAATACACACACACACACACACACACACACACACACAAGCAACCCTGAACATCCATCAGCGGATGAATGGATACGCCAATGTGTCCATCCAGACAATGGAATGTTACTCAGTCTTAAAAAGGAAGGATGCCTGACACCTGCCACGACATGGAAGGACCCTGAGGACACTGGGCTCAGTGAGAAGAGCCAGACCCAGAAGGACACATCCCGCAGGACCCCACTCCCAGGAGGTCCCCAGAGGAGTCCCGTCCATAGAGACAGAGAGGAGAGGGTGGGAGCGGGGGCTGGGGCAGGGGGTGGGGAGTCCGTGCTTCGTGGGGACAGAGTCTCCGTGTGGGGAGATGGAACGTTCTGGAGGCAGAGGATGGGGGTGGTCTCAGGACGGCGTGAGTGTGCTTCACGCCGCTGAGCTGTGCACTTAGAGACGGTTACAATGGTGAATTTCATGTTGTGTGTATTTTACCACAAGTTTTTAAACATTACACACACACACACACACCCCAAACTGAATCCTGCTCAGTTCTGTGCTCCTTGAGCCCCCTTTGGGCCGTACAGCTGGGGCCTTGTGATGGCGCAGTGTCCCCTGCCCAGGTACCGGCCAGCCCAGAAGACAGACAGCCTCGGGGACAGTGGTTCGCATGGCAGCCTGCACAGCACACCAGAGCAGGCCATGGCCGCGCAGAGCCAGCACCACCAGCAGTACATAGGTGAGTGCCCCCCGCCCCGCGGGCAGGGCCTCCCGGGGAAGCTCCCGTGTCCACTCAGCTCTTCCGGGGCTCGCGGGTTTCAGCACCTGCAGCATCTGCAGGGGTGCTTGAAACAGTTGGCTTGTAGAATACCTCCTGACGTAGAAATGTTCTAGATCAACCTTTGTGGCATCCCCAAGATTTTAGAATAGTCAGCAGATGCCCCCAGAATGAATGTGTAAAGTGACCATCAGGAAAAGAAGTAAAGAAAAGGAAATGCCCATCGGAAAGAAGACTGGATGTATTTTAAAACCTGTTGCCTCAGGACTTGGCTACCCTCCTCGGGTCTCTTCCTTGCTTCCCTGGAGCATTTACGATGCTCAGGACTCCTTAAAACTGGCTCTCCCGGGGCGCCTGGGTGGCTCAGTTGGTTAAGCGACTGCCTTCGGCTCAGGTCATGATCCTGGAGTCCCGGGATCGAGTCCCGCGTCGGGCTCCCTGCTCGGC